GAACCTTGGCACTCCAGCTGTTTTGGAACTACAAGTCCCATGAGGCATTGCAAGGCTCTGACAGCCACAGACATAACTCCCAGAGGCAGGTGCATGTTGGGATTTGTAGTTTTGGCACAGCTGGAGTGCCAAGGTTCGCCACCACTGCTCTAGGAGAACTATGGGGAAAAGCCTTAACCCCATAGTTCTCCTTTAACTGGTGGGTTGCGACCTCGTGTTTAATGGGTCGCTGCGTGCCTTCCACTTTTCTAGGTGAGAGGCTCCTCATCCTCCCCCATAGCGCAGCACTGTCAGTCCTCGCACCAAGCAGCCATTCAAAATATGCTGCCCGGCGCCGAGTGTCAGCTTGAGGTGGGGTGAGGTGGAGCTATGGCTGCGAGGGAGCTCCATCCATACCTGCATTGCTTACAGCTCCCTCGTGTCCTGTGGAGGTGCCTGGACCGGAGTGATGTAACATTCAGGCTCCCGGCACCTCTACAGGGTGTGCAAACGGAGCTGTAGAAGTGGATGAACACATGGCTGGAGCTCCGTCACAGCACAGCAGCCCACACTAGACCCCAGTCTGAGGATCCACTCCAGTTCTCGTAAAATAAGCAGACTGGGAGGATTTTTTGTAGTGCGTATGAGAGTGTGAGATTGTGTCTGTGGTTGTGTGTGTCTGTCAGTGTTTTTGAGGGCCCGTTCACACCAGTACAGTGCGTTAATCGCACAGTCTCATGCGATTAATGCGCTGTACCACGCAAACGGACCTACCGCACGTTCTGGTGTGAGAGGTGCATTGCATTGACATTCATTTGAATGGCTCCCCAAACGCATCTCCCATCCACAGTTCTATTGCCCGCGTCGGAACGTGCGGTACCCCAATGCCATTCGATCCATTGCAGTGCAACTTGGGTCACGACTTAATGACCGAGGAGAAATGTGGGTCCTGAGGTTACACAGGTTGAGAACCACTGCTTTAAATGTACACATTATGACCAAACGTATGTGGACACCCCTTTTAATTGAGTTCAGCCGTCTCCAGTGAAGGGTCTTGTTAATGCTACAACATACAAAGACATTTTAGACAATTATGTGCTTCCAGCCTTGTGGCAACTTGGTGAAGACCCATTTCTGTTCCACCATCACTGTCTCCTTTTTACAAAGCCAGCTCCATAAAGACACGGTGTTCACCAGTTTGGTGAAGGCCCTTTTCTGTTCCACCATGACTGTCCCCTGTGTACAAAGCCAGCTCCATAAAGACATGGTGTGAGTAGTCTGGGGTGGAGGAACTTGAGTGTCCTTCACAGAACCCTGACCTCAACCCTACTGAACACCTTTGGGATGAATTAGAATCCAAATTGTGAGCCAGGTCTTCTTGTCCATCATCAGCACCTGGCTTCACAAATTCTCTTTTGGCTGCATAGACACAAATTCCCAGAGCTACCCTCCAAAATCTTGTGGAATGCCTACCCACAAGATTGGTGGCTGTTTTAGCTGCAAATGAGGGCCGCCTCTATATAAATGCCCATAGTTTTGAAATGGGGCGTCCAGCAAGCTGATACAAGTGTGAGGTTGAGGTGTCCATGCACGTCTGACCTATATAGTAGATGTAGATCAAGAGTTGAGTCTCCAATGCACTTAAATATCTACAGATGACCTCAACTTTTTAAAGCTGGTGCCAGATCAGTCCTCTGACGGCACCATTGGTGTCACAAAAGTAAACTTGAACTATCTATAGCGTCCCCAACCATTCTTATTCTGGAATGGGCACACTATTGCTAGTCCTAAGAATAAATAATATCAAAAGTACAAAAACTAGGCTATTGTGCGGCCTTCTGGGCATTTTCGGCCTGCACTTGAGGCCTCCATATTTAGTAAGATGGCCACCATTAGAAAGTTGATATTCGCTATAGGAAATGCGATGGAATTTTGGATAATGGTGGCTACCAGTTGTGGCTCTCCGGCCTCCTAACATCTTGCTGTTGGTAGTTTTACAACTTCCACCGTGAGCTCCGAAACACTTATGTGGCTGAACCCCTTTAATGGTGTCTATCAGAAGAGGACATTGGTGGCCTCACTAGGGTTTCACGATCCTTATAAAAATTCTTGACATGTGCGGTGACCTCTGATATCCACCAGTCAATGATCCCTGTGTGCCACATTGGAGTATGCTCATTGTTCCGAAACGTTTCTAAAATTAACACTGCCCTCATTGTCACCCGAGTTAATCCCGGCGGTTGTCAAGAGTTCGGCCATGTCATCGCCTCGCCTTCCTCCTCCTGGAGGGACCGGCTTTTGGTAACGGATCTCTCCATCCAGCTAAGAGTTTTCCGTTTTGTTTGTGACGGCCTCACGCAGTGTCTGTTATTTCATATCGGCACATAAAACATTCAGGACGAGGGAACACAACGTCGGGCCCCGGCGATGATGACTGTCGCCTTGTGTTTTACACACAGATAACGCACACACAAAGGCCCGGAGACGTGACTCATCTCTGCCCAGAAGCTGCCTGAAGCTTTTCATCTCCGGGGCCCTTTGTGTGGCAGAATGCCGTGAGCAGGGGATGCTTTGTCTTCCATCAATGCCACCCTCATACAAAAGAAGACAATATATCCCCCCCC